CTGTCTTTGAAATCTTCAAAAATCTAAAAGGAAAGAAGGAATAGTGTTCTGTTAAAATTCTCACTTCTTACTTTGCACATGATTTCAAAGAGACAACTCCAAGGGAGATTATTAAAATTTTATCTTTCATGGTTATGTGAAAATGTTAATTCACTTACCAAAGAGAATATTATACACACATTTGGTTTAAAATTAAAATGCCATAGCAGATGTTAGCATTTGTTTTTCACTCACTTATTACCTTGCACAAAGATAGTAACTTCAAAATTAGCATGTTACAACATTGTAAAACAAAGATAGCACATTTCAACTAAAGAAAACCAGAAAAATCTCTTTTAAGAACAGTGGGAGAGGAAGAGTCCTCGTGAACAAAAAAAGTTATTTTGTGCCTGGGGGTATAGACTAAAGTCTCATTTGATGTGATGAAAACCAAGTTTTGTTCCTCCCAAAACTCATATATTTCTGGGAATCGTATTTTCTAAGGTCTGTTCCCAAAGGTCTTAACAGCATAATGAAAATTTGCATTATAGATGTAAATGCAATTTTTTATATTACCAGTGACTTTTAGACCACAGCTTATGGATCTGTGGCTAATCCTTTGCATTAAAGAAACAGAAAAAGAAAGAGGAGAGGAGAGAAGAGAAAAAGGTAAAGAAAAGGAATGTTATGTGCAAAATGAGTTTGTCCATAACCATCTATCAGGAAAACAATATCACCATGAAAACTTAAATTTCATGTAGAAAAGAAGAAGAAAATATTCTGAAATATGCAGATTATTATCTGCCTAATGTCTAAAATATATTAGGAAAAAACTACCAAAAAGTTAGTAAAAACTCAACACCTCATAAATTCAAGGTCTGTCATCCTCTTCATTAAGTTGTTAAGAGAATTACTGTTCCTGAAGGGTATCTGTGATAAGAAAAATATTTGTATTTTCTTGACGTGGCAATAGAAAATTGATGGAAATGTATTTGGGTCCTAAGCACTTTAAGAAATCTTAGAGGTTGGTTGAGGCTGTTAAAGTAAAAATTACAGTGAATAAAGTCAACAGGCAGGAGAAATTTTGTGCAAGACTACTGCAATAGAAGATAGAAATTGAACCCCTCTGAAATAAAAGCTGAGGTGAGCTAGTGGAAAAGTACTGAAGGACATTGGGGAAGAGTTGACTAATAAGTTGTGTTGAGCACATTGAGTTATTGAAATGGCAAATGTTTTTCTTTATGATTAGGCCATATGTGTTTGGTAATTGGCTCCCATCAAAGTCAGGATCCTATCTGCCCACAGAGACTGGCCAATGAAGGCACTATCTTTTTTAATATTTAGATTCAAAGCAATCATTTCCAGGTCTTTGTGAAAGACATTTCCTGTGAAATAAATCTGGCAAGAGGCTGGGAGATTTACAGATATTTCAAGGGGCAGAGAAAGAACTAACATTTGTAAGATTTCTGAAGTTAATGCTCTAAGAAATGGGAGGCCAGAGGCCTACAGTCAGGAAGACTTCTGTCCAAAGTTTTGTCATGCTATGGGAAGCATTACGTTATCTTAGCCATGGCAATGACTTTGAATTTATATTCCAGGTTGAATTAGCTCTACCATTAATATTTATCTGGTGGTTTTTTTCTTTCCCCTTTGATTAAAATTGAGAATAGCTATTCTAGATAGATAATACATAGATGGATGGATAGATAGATGATAGATAATATTCTTGGCATATTCATTTCAAGGATTTTAGAATTCTTAACAATATTATACATATTTTTATAGTTTATTCTCCTGAGACTACAAACCTCATAATTTGATGAACAATATTCCTCACTCAATTACTAACAATATAATTGGTTTATTATTTCTCTCTTTAATTAATTTGTAAATAATTTTTTTCCAATTATAGCAGCACATGCCAATGACATATCAAAATGACTGTGTATTTTATATCACAACTGGCTCTAATATGACTAATAACAATTTAATATTACTTTTTGTAATTATATATTTATACATAATAAACATTTATTTATATTTCTATTAATATCTACACTTATAAAATGTATGTAAATCTTACCTAGTTATTTTTTATAGGAAAGACACTTTATTTATTTTTTTGTTTTTTAAACCGCTTTATTGAGATATACTTGACATTTAAAATGTTCAATTTGATAAGATTGACATATATATATATACACATTTGTGAAATCATCATCACAATCAAAATACATTTTCCCCCTATATCTTTGTAATCCATTACTCCTAACCCCCATATGTTTTACAGGTATATAAGGCATATAGATATATATTTTAAAAAAATTTAAATCATTTTATTTAGGTACAGTGATATATAAAAAGCTGTAGATAATTAAGGCATACAACTTGATGAGTTTGGATTACCTTATTTTTTAATACTTGAACAGATGGCCATTATATGACTACTAGAGGCCCGATGCATGAAATTCGTCCACCAGTAGGGTCCCTAGGCCTGGACGGTGATCAGGGATGATCAGGGTCTTCAAGCTGCTGGCCAGGCCTCCCTTCCCCGGCTGCCAACTGCCTGCCAGGCCTTCCTTCATTCCACGCCTCCCCCTGGTGGTCAGTGCACATCATAGCCAACTCTGGGTCTCCCGGTTGAACTCCCATGGGGTCACTTTGCATATTAGCCTTTTATATATATACTAGAGGCCCGGTGCACAAAAATTTGTGCACTCGGGGGGCGGGGGGAGGGGGGTCCCCCAGCCCGGCCTGTGCCCTCTCGCAGTCTGGGACCCCTCGGGAGATAACGACCTGCTGGCTTAGGCCTGCTCCCGGGTGGCAGAGGGCAGGCCCAATCCCTAGGTGCAGCCCCTGGTCAGGCTCAGAGCAGGGACGATTGGGGAGTTGGGGCGCCGCCCCGTCATGCACAGAGCAGGGCGGATCGGGAGGTTGCGATGCCCCCCTCAGTCACGCTCAGGGTAGGGCCGATTGGGGGGTTGGGGCACCGCCCCCTGTCACACTCAAGGCAGGGTCGATGGGGAGGTTGCGGCACCACCCCCTGTCACGCACAGAGCAGGGCCCATCAGGGGGGTTAGGGCGCCACCACTGTCACACTCGGGGCAGGGCTGATGGAGAGGTTATGGCTCTACCCTGTCACACACAGAGCAGGGCCCGTGGGGAGGCGGGTTGGTTTGCTGCACCTTGTCAAACACAGAGCCGCAGGGCAATCAGGGGATTGGGGAGCTCCCCCCTATCAGGCACAGAGCAGGGCCCGTGGGGGGGGGTGGTTGGGGCGCTGCACCCTGAGCCCCAGGGCAGTTAGGAGATTGGGGAGCTCCCCCCTATCAGGCACAGGGCAGGGCCCGTGGGGGGGGGTGGTTGGGGCGCCGCACCCTGTCACACACAGAGCTGCAGGGCGATCAGGGGGTTTGGGCGCTGCCCCCTGTCACGCTGATCCCGGTGCTGGGAGGCATATTACCCTTTTACTATATAGGATAGAGGCCTGGTGCATGGGTGGGGGCTGGCTGGTTTGCCCTGAAGGGTGTCCTGGATCAGGGTGGGGGTCCCCACTGGGGTGCCTGGCCAGTCTGGGTGAGGGGCTGAGGGCTGTTTTCCGGCTGGCGAGTGACTAAAGCTTCCAACCGCTCCTTGTTTTCTTCTCTCTTTTTTTTTTTTTTCTGGGCCAGCTTTAGCTCTGAGGCCTCGCTGCTGAAAACATAGATACAATGTTGCGGTCCGAGCCTGGCTGAATGGAAGCCCTTTTCTGGGGTTTTGTTTAGCTTCTTATTTGCAACATAGTATATAGTTGCTTAGAGTTGCAACTGAGAGGCTGGCAAGTGAGGCGGGGAACGTTGGAGTCTGCAGCAAGCAAGCCTCCCTGCTCGCTTCAGTGCCTGGCTGCCGGCCGCCATCATGGCTGACAGTTAATTTGCATATACTCACTGATTAGCCAATGAAAAGTGTAGCGGTCGTACGCCAATTACCATGTTTCTCTTTTATTAGTGTAGATAGATAATGCCTTTTTTAAAATATGGCAAAATCTCTCTTTAACCCCCTCCTGTAATAATTCAGTAAAATTTTTAAGGTGATCTCTTGCTGCACATTAATAAACTCCTATATGTAAAAACGCATGTTTTTGCATCTTTCTGTGTGCATGTCTGGGTGTATATGTTTAAATATGGTGATCTTTGTTTTATTCTTTGATAGTCTGAAGGTTCCACCAAGATTGTATTGGTAAACAGCACTATTGGTTTACCTTTAAATACATTTAGTCAAAAAACCTGCATTTCCTATTTTTCTTACCATTCTAATTTTGTATAAAGAGAACACACAACTACAACAGAAAAATTTATTAACTGTTGAGTTTGTCATCCTTTTCAGAAATGTTGAGAAAGTTCCAATTATTAGAATATTTTGCTAAAATGTCACAGCAGCAATTACGTTAAGATTTATCTGTGGAATTTAATTTCTGGGCCAGAAATTAATTAATTTGCCTTTAAAAATGATACCTTTCATATATCAGATTATTCCACATCAAAAGGAGACTCAAGTGATTTCAAAAAATATAGTAGATCCTGGAAGAATGGCCCCTGAAATCAAGAAGATATAGGATGGAAGGTCAATAATTCACTTATCATTTGTATGCTTTTTTTCTTCACTGCAGAATGAGGGAAGAACCATAAACAATAACAAAAAAAGTCCATTTATAGCAGTACTGAAGTGATATCAAAACTGACTTGGCTTCTGCTGTAAAACTCTAACAGCTAAAGCTGACAAAGTACCATGAACTTTGAGTGAGGATAGCAGACCCACACTAGCTCTAACCATGGACACACTTGGGAAAAATGAACAATGGGATATGCTTTAACCAACAGTATACAGACCTGTAGACTCACTTTGTCCTATCTTGAGTGCTAGTTTTCAATTCTTTTTGTTTGTTTGCTTTAAGACATTTTATTGATTTTTAGAGAGAGAAGAAGGGAGAGAGAGAGAAACATCAATGTGAAAGTGAAACATCCATGGACTGTCTCCTGCATGCTCCCTACAGAGGATCAAGCCAGAAACCTGGACATGTGCCCTGACTGGGAATCAAACCAGGAACCTTGAGGTGCACAGGAGATGATGCCCAACAACTGAGCCACACCCAGCCAGGGCTAGTTTTCAATTCTTAATGAACATAATCAACAAGTACTACCGTTTTCTGAAACTTCTCCCTTCCAACTCATTCCCTTTAGTGAATTACAGTACATTTATTCACTAGATATGGTCCTTTGCCATGAAAGTTAGTGCATGTAGCTTTGCAATTTTTAAGTTATAAAAATAATACAATTTGGCTGTTGAAAGTAGAAATAGTTATTTTTTTCCAATTGAACAATTTTCCTATGAAAAATGAACCATTTTTACCAATATTTCTGGGTCCAGCCAGCTTTTCTATCCCAGATGGTACATGATTTCTGACTTCTGCTCATCTACATTTTTTTTTGGAGTTATAGGAAGAGTAATTAATACACATACATGTTTGGGGAGGTGTAAAAGAGTGGGGAGTTTTAAATGGGCAAGAGTTAAAAGAATAAAGAATATAATTTGAGGATTCTAAGAATATATATTACTAAAAATATAAAACAGACATGTACTGCTTTGCTCTTTATCTCTTGGTAGCAACATTTTGTTTCTAAGTGACCAAGCCTTTTATTTTAAGACTCCCTCCTGCTTTATGTTAAAAACAAAGGAACAGTTATTTTCTGTTTCATTTTTCAACTCATATTGACATTAAATTCATAAATTATTTAGGGGAAACAGTATTGTAAATTATAGTACCCATTGTTTCAAGACCTCATTCATTCTAAGAAGGTACCCTTTTATGAGTGGTTAGGGAAAAAAATGCAACTCAAAATAGGCTACAGATACTTTTTAGAAAATAAATGTTAATGTTATTTGAAAAAGAAAAAGTTTGAAGCCACAAATCATTTAAATATGCATATAATAAACTGTCACACTTTATATTGTGAAATTTAATTAAACATGTTCTAGCCTTTTGGGTTTTGGAATGCTAGGTACAATGCTAAGTGATAGATGTGAGAAATCAATATTATCCTTCTGGCATTTTTGTTCAGCTATATAATAGCTTCTTACTAGGTGTGTAAGAGAGCTACTGGTATTTTTGCCTTGATTTACAGGAAAATGAACATTCTACAAAGGGTAAATCTATTAATTAGAGACCTGCACAGCTTGCTTTCTTGCTAGTGTAATCGTTAAATTGATTTTTCCAGTCCATCATGTAATTGTTCCAGCGATGGAATCCTGCTTTCCATTCTTGTTCTGCTTCATCAATATTTCCTGTAAAACAGGGAATAAATTGAATTAATGTAAATTTTATCTGTTTCTATTAATTGAAAAATAATTTTGATTGCAGATGCCATTTTTTCCAAATACAATGTACAGCAATTTTTTTATTCTTTATTATTTATTATCAATTTTTTTACTTCCCAAATAACTTTATTAAGTTATATATTCTATAAAATGCAAATAATACATTTGTTTAAACATATACAAAATACAAATATTTATAATACATAAAATGCAAAACTGAGTTTATATATTATATGCCAAATTATAATATATTACATATATTTGTTTTTGTTTCTAAAAAGATAAAGATAATATTCTTTTCTTGAGTCTCCTACTCATAAAAAATTTTATTTAATGCATCTTACTTACATATGTAATTATACTTCAGAATATTATTCTTAATGAAAGTGTTTATATCACAATACTTATTTCCATACAGATAACTTTGCAATTGGCATTCTATATAGATTTTGCACTCTTTCTTATCAATTGTTTTAATTCCAAATAATTCTTCATCATTGAAAGCAGTTTATTAAAACTACTATAGGAAAGCAGTTTATTAATCGCTTTGCGAATGAGAAAGACAACTAAGATAATCTATGCTTTCTAGTAATTTGCAAACTGCATGTATGTATCATGAAAGAGGGGTATTTAAGTAAAAAACGTGAGGCAATGAACCAAATTGGTCTTCCTATGTACTACAAGAACCTTGAAATCTTGATTTATTTGAAAGTGTATTACATTAAAGAATAAAGTTTGTGAACAATAGAAACTCTTGAATTACAAACTTTTAAAATCATATAGTGATGTTCCTAATATAAATAGGTATGATAAGTCTAGAAGTTGGTTTAAATCATTTAAATTTATAAGTATTATGTACATTTGTAGTTATCTTATTGTTTTAAACTTCTAGCATGCTGAATTGGTTATTGACTTAAAAACAAAAATTTAAGTTACTTACATTTTCCTAAAAAGAATAACTTAGAATTGTTAAAATATATAATTTTCAAGTAGCAATTTAAAATAACAATTATAACTTTGTAAGATTTTAATTTAGAAAAGACAGTTCATGTGATCTCATACTAAATTATAATACACATGGAAAAGTGTCTTGCTTTCATTCATGCTATTAATAATGGAACACATTCAATGATTCATTTTTAGTTTATATAAATATCAAAATATTTAAAACATTTGTATAGACATCAAATATTCTCTGGAATATAGAATAAATCTAGGTTTGAAATGATTTTCCTTTCTTATTGTTGGAATAATTCCAAATCTATTGATTCATGTACATGCAAGTTTATTTCCTTATGTGGCTAAATCAACCATCTATACAATTTAGTGTATTGAAATACTTAACTTTATATTGTACAAATGCTCTGTAAACCCAACTACAGTTTTCACTTAGAAGTACTGAACATTGATTGAGACACTAAATTATAAAACATTTAATTATTTTTAACAGAATCCAGGAGAAGTGAATGCACCACAATAAGAAAATAATAAAACATTTTGAGTCCCATGACATGAATGAAAACCAAAATTAGAACTTTTTCTCTTCCTCCTTCTTCTCCTCAAAAAGGGGAATATCTATTTAAACATCTAAAGATTTACCACCTGTGAGATGCTGATAACAACGTACTATGGTGTAAAATAAAGAAAAGAATAACAGAAAAATCAATCACTTTGCAAATAAGTTTTCCACTATTTTGCAGTGTTACCGTGAAGAATAAATGAGATGGTGTGTACATTATGAAATCACACTCTACACACCGATTAGGAGCTACACTAATGAATTTAATGCCCTTGTCACAAAAATGTATTCCTAACTTTGGTCTTTTTTGAATCCATGTACAGCTAGATTAATACCAGTAGTTCATAAACACATTGGCACATTTTTTGAGGACTTTTATAATCTTTGTTTTGCCACATTGTTGTCTCACAAGGAAAAAAAAAGTCAGTCTTTCTTTCCTACACAAAGAGGAAGAATAAAGCCATATTTTTAAAAAATATATTTTATTGATTTTTTATAGAGAGGAAGGAAGAGGGATAGAGAGTTAGAAACATGGATGAGAGAGAAACATCGATCAGCTGCCTCCTGCACACCCCCTTCTGGAGATGTGCCCACAACCAAGGTACATGGCCTTGACCAGAATCGAACCTGGGACCCTTCAGTCCGCAGACTGACGCTCTATCCACTGAGCCAAATCGATTAGGGCAAGCCATATTTTGTCTTGATTAAAAAACAGTAATATTCCACTGCAGCTAGTCTATTTAGTCAAGTCTGAGGAGTTAGGAGAGAACACAGAATGGTAAGTCAACTCAGAATTGTTAATGAAGGTTAAGTCTGAAGAAGAGATTAAATTGATAATGAATTGTGCTGAGCATTATGATAAAAGTATTTTATGTATTTTTGAGAGTTCACTGAAAATCTCTTCTTAATACTTATTTCCATACTTGTCAACCAATTATTAAAATTTCAAAGAAATGCATGGTTTTTATGGGGTGTATCAGAACTTAATAGTTGTCCTGTCATAATTTTGAGTGTGTGATGAAATAGTAGAGTGAACAGGCTAGGTTTTGTGATGATTTCATGCTTTAAACATGAAACTAAAATATTATTTGATTGCCGGGACCGGTTTGGCTCAGTGGATAGAGCGTCAGCCTGCGGACGGAAAGGTCCCAGGTTCGATTCCGGTCAAGGGCATGTACCTGGGTTGCGGGCACATCCCCAGTGGGAGATGTGCAGGAGGCAGCTGATCGATGTTTCTCTCCCATCGATGTTTCTAACTATCTATCTCTCTCCCTTCCTCTCTGTAAAAAATCAATAAAATATATTTAAAAAAATAAAATAATAAAATAAAATATTATTTGATTAAATTAAAGGTTGCCCAAAGGTTTTTTGTTGTAGTTGTTCTGTATTATTTTGTTTTTCTTTTAATGGAAATAGAAAATTCAGAATATGAAAGCAGTAAAAATTTTTTTGATTTTTTTTCCTCCATGCCAGTTTTCACTCTAATTTTTTGGTTGCCATTCTTGCTAAATGATTATGAAATAGCAGTACATAATTCTTCAGAGTGGTATCTCAGCTCTTACATTTATATGTGGTCTTCTTTAGTTTGGGCAAGTAATAATGTGCCATGATTTATTTAAAGACCAAAGGAGGAACCACTGGATCTAATATTTGTTTTCTATTGGGAAGATATGGAACTCTAATATGTTTTTTTTTGTTGTTAAATAAATGTACTCTTCCATGTTTGTTGAAAAATGTTGATATCTTATTGACATTGACTGGGTCATTTCTCTCCTTTTTTTTCAAATGATTCTGATATATTATACTGTTATATTCTTCACAAAAACTCTAATTTGATAAAATTTGAAACAAATGTAGTACACTTTATTTCTTGCAGGTGCATGCAGTAATAGCATAGGCAAGTACTAAATTATGGCTTGAAAGTTAAGTGCTAGAATTCATGTGTTTAAACAAGTCTTACAGATTATTTTATGTAAGAACATTTATTTCTCAAACATAAACTATTGCCTAAGTGGTACTTATAAAGCTTACTAGGTTTCCATCTTGAGTGAAGTAAGCATTACATTTCTCCTTTTAAATAATCCAGTCAGTAGTCATCCTTTGAAATTTTCTTTTACTTGTAGAGCTGCATTTTAAAAATATTTTCATAAAAAACTTCCACCCATGTCATCTGAAAAACTTCAATTTTCAAAACATCAAAACATGAAATGTTTGAAATTTTGCAACTAGGAAAACATAAGGTATGATAAGAACATGTGCTTTTTGTTACTATTTTTATTAATTTGAGTACACATATTTTATTTTTTATTTTATTTTTTCCCTTTATTGGTTAAGATATGTGTCCTTATCTCCCCACTGTCCCCCCAACCCCCCACTCATGCTCTCACCCCCCTGGTGTCTGTGCCCATTGGTTAGGCTAATAGAACATGTACTTTTAACCTTTTTAAACCCTTCATTATTTATTATTTATAATACTAAAATCGTGTAATTTTAAATTAGTTTTGTGCATTTAAATGTATTTTTTTAGAAATTTAGAAATACATTGTTGATGTTCTAAAATCACCTGTATTTAGTTATTTTTTAAAAATATATTTTAATGTAACTTTTTTGGAAAAATTATCTGAGAAGAATATTTAAATTATGTTTTCAAGACACATGGAATTATCCCAAGAGCCCATTACTAGCCCATTATTTCCCCACAGTGTTGCTCAAACTAGAATGTTGTTCCGTACCGCATAGGAAGTGGCAGAAGCTAGCTAAAAATTAAAAATTGTTATTAAATCTGCCTTATGGCAGTTGAGTATTTAGAGGTAGAGATTTTGAAGTACATCTTCAGAAGTTGTGGATATTCAAATTTTATTTTATCCACAAATAAATTGCAAGATAGCATATGTGCCTGAATCAGAATGGCTCAGTTTGGCTTATAATAAATTAGTCATTTACAATCCCACCAACCCCTCTCTTATTTTTTTCTCAAATTATGAACTTCTCATTTAAAAATATTTTAAGTAAAGATTAAGACTATGTAGTGAGTGGTATGCTAAATGGTACCTCTTCTGGTCTCTTGGCAGTTTCAACGTGTTACCTCATTGTTATTCACACCCAGAGGACACAAAGGCAGCACTGTATCTCTGCCAAGGAATGCAGAAGCCCATCTCTGGATATATATTATGTCACTGAACATTTGGTAATACACAGAGTGCTGGTATATCAGAAACATTTCCCAAACAGATGGAGCACATAATTATAATTTTGGTGAGTAATGTCTGATAATCAAAAGGCATATTAAACAATCAAATACAGCTCTGAGGTGCTCATATTTGCATGAAACTAACCCCTTCCCTCTCTAAATAAGAAACTAACAACATACTATATTGTGCTAGTTAATATGTAGTCTGAAAATTACAGTGTTATAATGAACAGAACAGTAAAGGGTAAAGGAACTGGGCAGCAATATGTCTGATGGCTGAAAGTCAATTACTTTTATTTGAGAAAATTAAGGTAGAAAATTGACTAGAAGAGCCACATGGGTTATAAACAGCTGAGCTTTTTAAACCCAGGCATTGAATGAGATATGCCATTTTTCTCACAAAAGATGTGATCATTCAAGTTGGATGTTCAAGTTAATTTAGTTTTTCGCTCATGAATTTTGAAATAATATGATCACCTGAACCAATTTTCTTAGTATTTCCTTATATAAGTCTAGATAAGCACTTCCAGAAGATTAGCTAACTAATTTAGTACCTGTTTATTGTATTATGTAATATGTGTACATGTTTTTAGATAAATATCTCCAAGTTCAGGATATTTAGAAATATTTGGATTGTGTTATTTTAAATGCAAGCTTTTGAGTTTTTTCCCCTTTAGAAATCAAGGGTTGCACTACTTATCAATAAATTTGTTATTACCTATTTCTAGTATAAATTATATTTTGTTATATTTTAGTTGTGTGAATTATTTATTTTATGTATAAATTTATTATCCATTGATTAATTCCATGAAGATTGGCTGAATAGCAAGTAGTGCCCTATTTTAGTTCTGCTACTATTTTATGTTCTTCTAGGGAAAAATTCCTATTTTAGTTTTCTTTATTTAACTACTAAAGTGCTGTTCAAACAGTAAGCCCTCAAAACATACCCAAACTTGCTGGAAGAAAATTGTTAGTAATTAGGACTCATCAGAATCAAGTAATTATAAAGTCACAGATTAATACCATCTACAGGCCTCGGATAGTCCAGCTTTTCCCCCTTTTACATAATCCACAAGCAATTATTGAACAAAATATTAAAAACACACACCTGTCATTTCCAAGACTTTGGGGAAAAACAGTGTCCAGAATCGGCATTGTTGAGCACGTAGTTTAGTATATATTTTTGGCGACTCTGTATTCAAGGTTAAATATTTTTGTTCAGTGCTTTTGAAGACAGGCCAACTTGTACTACTATTCTGGGTCCCATTTGGACTTCTAAAAAATTAAAGAAAGACATTATATCTTTACTGAAATCATTGCTAGATGAAAATATTGTTCTCAAAAACCAATAAGAGCTTTTTAAAAATTCAGGAAAATATTGTGAATTTCTTTGATGATGTCAAGCATAAATGAGCTTGGTTGAATGTTTTCAGTACCTTGAAGGACTATGTTAATTAAAAATTGTTGGAAATAAAGTTTGAAGAACTTTTTACATGCATTTCTGCATAACATGCAAGGAGAAAAATACATTTTCTTTTCAACAATGCTGTTTTTTAAAATATATTTTTATTGATTTCAGAGAGAAAGGAGTGAGAGAAGATAGAAACATCACTGATGAGAGAGAATCATTTACCAGCTGCCTCCTGCATGCCCCACACTGGGGATTGAGTCCCACAATACAGGCATGTGCCCTGACTGGGAATTGAACTGTGACCTCCTGGTTCAGAGGTCAACGCTCAACTACTGAGCCATGCCAGCCAGGTAATAATGCTCTTTTTTTTTGTTTTGTTTTCTTTTAAACATGCTCAAATGGTAGTGTCATTTTTGTTTCATCTTTTCCCCTTATCCCAGGCCTAAACTTTTCACAATTAACATTAATACCATCTATTTAGTATCTGTTCCATCTATTTCATTCTATTTGTTATTCTTACTGACTGAGTCTGGGACCGATTACACATTTCTTTATTATGTAATAGCCTCGTTACTCTAGGAAACTGCCTTAAGTCTCAGTTTTAAGCTGATCTTACCTTCTTGAAGACCCGTTCACTGCTTAAAATCATTTTAATAACTCCCAATGGGTTTAGATAAAGGTTAAACACGATGCCACTCACATTTCTAAGCTTATTTTCAGATATTCTATTCATTAGCCAACCAACAGGAATTAGGGATCGTTCCTTAGTAATATCCTCCTTTATTTTATTTCTTTGCCTTTGCCCCAGCTATTATTTCTGCTTGAAATCTTTTTATTCCCCAACATCATGTGTCTATGTCGATTAAGAACTTTCATATTCTAATTTGTGCCAATATTTCTAATATTTTTCGCGTGGTTTCTTAATCAATAACATGACTCTTTTTTAGAAATATATAGTTTTGGGTTCATTTACATCTTTGTGGCACTCAATAATGCATTGTTACCTAGGTCATACAAATTGAAACTCAAAGTAGCAAACATTGCGAAAGTGGCTCCAAGTAGAAAATCCGTAGATTTTCCTTTAATATATTTTAAAGTTATAATTATGAGTCAGACATTGCTCTAGGCTCTAGAACTACAAATAATTATGGGAAACATAGTTTCCTGCAGGGAATTTATAAACAAAAGTATCCATGAAAAGAAAGAATCAACAATGTATGGTAGCCTAAACCAAGTGTAAACAAAGGGACACAAATCATCAGAGGACTGAGCAATCACTAAGTTTGAAAGGAAGTTACCTGAAGGAGTGAGACTCCAGCTGAAGTAAGGAGAGAAAATAAGGAACTGAACCAGACAGAAAAGTTGGAAAAGCTAAAGAGAGGAATAGACTCAGAGATAGAGAGGAGGCAGGAGATTGAGCAAAAAGAAAAATAAGAGAGAGATAACTCATGGACATGGACAAGAGTGTGGTGATTGCAGGGGGGTGGGGGGAGGAGAAGGAAGAGGAAACAGAATTAACATAAGCACAAATAATGAGTGTTCATCTTCATTCAAAGGATTCTAGGATAGAGGAGATCCTATTAGAGTTATAGCTCTAGAATATTAGTCTTATCACATTAAGACCTGACAGTCTAGAAAAATGGTTTGGACTTTAGCTTGTAGGTATTTACTATTCTTGAGGGATTTTTGACTAAATGTTTTACTGTGAACATAACATTTTAGAATTTTTTTTTAATCTGGGTGTGATATCTAGAATAACAAAAAAAGCTAGAAAGTAGTCACAGGTACTTTAATCATGAGCAGAAGACTAGAGTAATAAGGATAGGGAGTCATTCCTTTCTCTTAGATTCATTCTGCCTTAAGCAAAATCATATAAGAAAAACTCCAGTTGAATGTGCCTAAAAGTAGAACACATAAAATTCTTCATCATTTAATACCTTCTGTGAATTATTAATGGATAGAAAGTTGCGAGTAGTAATAGCAGGTAACATACATACATACATAAATATAAATATATATATATATATATAATACAATATATATACTGTATATACAAAAGCTTATGAACCTAGTATAGTTTGGAAAGACAAGCAAGCATTTGTCCAGCATGAATATTTAGCAGTATTCATCAAGAACTTGTATCAAATAAGCACCATAAATTCATATTTTACCATAGAAGCAGACTATTCCACCACAAATTCAGAAGCTTTAGCAATAGATAACTTCTTGATGTAGTAGTTGATTTTATGTAGGAATTGGATGACTTAATAAGAACTATTAATAAGCGGAGGTATTCAAGCTAAACCCATATCATAACAGGATTGAAACCTCCTGCCTTAGGGTGTTTTTTGAGAGAGATCATGAAGAAAATGTCTCCAGCTCACAGATGGCACCCTTGTCTAGGTGAATTATGGAGTCTTTTCCCTTTCCTTTAAAGCTTTGGAAACTAACAACTACAGCTGCTGGAGGCTGGGTTTTAAACCAGAAGAACCATTGGTCTGATTCGGTACAGCAATTCTTATGTCCCTAAATTGCTGGCTTTCCTTCTAATTCCACTCTAATTAACTTATGGCACCATTTTAACTGCACATTCATTTATGGCTTCTGCAAATGGTGGCTTAAACAGAGCCGACTTGTACTTGAGTTCAGGAGGGAGGCAGTAATGACACTGCCAGGGTTGATTTAACAAACTTTGTCCATGAAATAACTCATGACATTCCAAATTACAACTCAGCGATAATAAAATTCCTTTGCCTATGGATGCAGATGTAGTTTTCAAAAAGTGATTGAAATAGCTATTGAAGTGGTGGAGCATTTTACTCTATAATTTGAAGAAATCTCCAAAGATGTTAAAACTTAACAAGGAATATAATGCTCTTCCTATCTGGATCAATTAAAAACTTTGTGAAAGATAAAATATTTTCCAGCTATACACTTTTGAAACAGTATATAATTTTAATCTCAAAATTATAGATGCATTAAACATCTTGACATCACAATTTTTCAAAAAAGTTATCTTCTTGTCACAAAAGGAAGGTTTTAAAGTGATGATACCGAAAATTTTCCATGAAGAGTAATTTTTGCTTTATTTTCACTATTATATTCTTTTTGTACTTTGTGGTATAGAAAAGTAGTATAAAGATCATCAATTATACTTTTCTTCTTATGTAGGTTTGACAAGTTTTAAGTTTTCTCTTGTTTAACCAAAAAAAAGGGCAGATTCTCTTTGCAACTTCTGTGTTTCAGGAAATTACCTGCTTGTCATTGAAATGTGAGCCCAGATTTGACAATTCACTTCATAAATTGCTTTTTTTAGTGACATTAATTGACTCCGGGTGCCTATTATGAAGTAGTATGTATTAAGCTCCATACATAAAGTGTTCTGATGCTTATATTTCCTGATATTACCTACCAAAACTAACACTGAAATTAAGATTATTTTTGACTAAGAATTCAGATACAGCAATGTATAAGTAGGCTATACAGTTATTTTATTTTAAGTGAATATATTTCAGTATGCTTTACAATCTAATAAAATAAGTACGTAATTAGTGGTTGTAAATTGAAAGACCACCTATATATTCTACTGTCATAAGAGGGCTAAGGAGTAACAGTTTATATTGGATGATTTCTTAAAAATACAAATATCAATGGATTCATATTCCATGTCATATTACACTTCAATCAAATTGTATTTTAATTTAAAGAGTAGAATGGCTATAAGAGAATCTGAATATAGAAAAAAAATCATTCCTTGATTCAACAAATATTATTGAGTGCATACTATGTCAAGCTTCTTTAAGTCACAGAAGATTTAACAAAGGCAAATTTGACAGAAATTCCTTCCTCTTGCAGTTTTCATTCTTTGAGGAAGAAAAACAATAAACAAGATAAATAGGGGAAATATGTTTGACAGTAATAGCTGCTATAGAAAATAAAATGGAGAATAGGAATAATAGGAAATGACCAGTAAGTAACAGTAGGGATGGGCATTGGTGAGGGTGTGTGTAATAATGAATTTGATTGGACAATGTCCACAGCTCCTGTGAGGTAACATCTAAAACTTTGGAATTTCCCACCAATACTGATTATTTATGCTAACAAAGTGACTCATGGTGGGCACCTGATGATTTTTGATAATGACATCATTCAAGGTGGGGCTACTCAGGATTAGAATCTCAGGAAAGGCATGGCAATGGCTAAAAGACCATGCATATGATTAGAGAGGTTGAGACTTTGAACCACATGATACTAGCCTGACTTCCAGAAAAGAGAGGGGGCTGAAGATTGATTTCAACCACATAGCCAATAAGTTAATCAATCATGCCTACATAATGAAACTCCAATAAAACCCTGAGCCTCAAGCTCAAATGAGCTTCCTGGGTTGGTGATACTCTAAGGCAGCGGTTCTCAACCTGTGGATTGCGACCCCTTTGGGGGTCGAACGACCCTTTCACAGGGGTCGCCTAAGACCATCAGAAAACACATATATAATTACATATTGTTTTTGTGATTAATCACTATGCTTTAATTATGTTCAATTTGTAACAATAAAATTGGGGGTCACCACAACATGAAGAACTGTATTAAAGGGTTGTGGCATTAGGAAGGTTGAGAACCACTGCTCAAAGGGCACATTACCATGATTAATGGCATGAAGTAATGCATCTCCAAGTATACAGAAGCTTTGCTTTTGGAACACTGTCAGTACCAGGCCCTGTTCTAAGGTATCTTTTTCTTTGGTTCTGATGTATATCGTTTTGTTATATTAAAATCATGATTATAATTATAGCACTTTCTTGAGTTCTGTGTGTCGTTCTAACAAATTATCAAATTTTATGGAGTCCACAAGGGCCTTAAATTT